GCGCGTCAGCTTAATGTGGGAGGAAAGCCTGAAATGATGCAGGTATCAGACGTTTACCACTTTGGTGAAACCCACGAGCACGGGTATGGTGCTGACAAACTTGAAAACATAATCGGGGCGAACCGGGATTCGAACCTACAGTCACAGTTTCTGGCGTACCCAAGGGACGCTACTCTGCACAGCGAATCGCCCGGCCTTAAACGACTGGGCCACCCGTGCCCTTGTAAACGAAGGGAACAAAGGACTGTCGTTGTGAAGGGAGATGACAGCAAGCAATTGAGAAAAAGGTACTTATATAATTATGTAATGCAAGAGTGTAGTAGTATTGTCGAAATGGCGCTCTTGGAATTTGCCCATGGAACCAGGAAATAACTCACTCGACCTGTGTTCAAGTTTCATCCTCTTTCCTATATCTATGCTTTACTGATTCACAGTTTTATCAGTGTGTTATTGTTAATATATTTGGAGAGAGTATTTCAAGATAATGTTCACCTGATTCAGTCGCTATAAAATAAATTACATTTCACCAGACCATTTGGGTGATACATCGAAGTAGAACTCTAACACAGGCTCAGCTTCTCGTGGGTTGCGGAGATAATGTTAAATCATCACATCACAACTGCTCGAAGCTTTTATCAAAATGCTAAATTACGAACACCTACAGGACCGCCTTCGTGGTCTAGTGGTAGAGCGTTCGCCCGGAGAGCGGAAGATCGCGGGGTTCCATCCCGCGTCACGTAAAAAGACGTTAGAAGACAGTACGTGTTGTTACCCGTAAGTTCGTTATAACCGTAGTTCGTTATAAGCATATATATTCATCATATAAACAGCAAATGGCCTGGACCGTTATAACCGTGTTCGTTATAAACGTAGGTTACTGTATAACATTCGTGTGTTGTTACAGATGGGGCGTCCCTTATGCGTGCTTAGGAGCCATGGGTCTTGGAATGTCAGATTCGCCCGAATTATGTTTATCCACACAATACCCCTGTTCGTTGGTGTCACCCAAGTGATAAACGCCTGAGGTGAGGTGAAATGGGGTTTTACGTCGCGTCCAAGATTATTACACTTATATAGCGACGTGCAAGTACGCGTGTGTGTTTGTGTGGCTGCTTGTACTAGTCCGGACTGATGCTGATTTATAGTGCTAGCTCACTGAGATACCATGCCGCAGTTTAACATGAATACCCTACTCAGGCACAGCATACTGACTCCGAGCCGACCAGTCCTTGTTTTAGTCCCTTAATGCCGAGCGCCAGACAGGGTAACAACAAGTACCATCTTTTAACGCCTTTTACAACTATGGAAGTTGGTAACCTCAACAACACTGGCTCTTTGTTTGTTTGTTTGTATTTTAACGTCGCACTCAGCATTGTTGCAGACATATGACGGCGGTCTGTAAATATTCGAGTCTGGACTAGACAATCCAGTGACACGCGTCATCGGGGCAAAATGACACATCAACGACGTCACCGAGTCTGACCAGTCCGATTCACAAAGTAGCATCTTGCGTTCAGCACAGTTAATTGTACAACAAATTATACCAGGGGATCCACACGTACGTGTTGATATAGGGGGAACACACGTACGATATGTACAGCATGCTTTGATGAACGGATAACCACGGGTAACAGTGTGTTACTGCGTAAATAACACGTTTACACTGTGTAACATATTGTTGAAGCACGGGTAACTCATATACACTGTGTAGATGTGGTATAATTAAGAATTGACCTTCACTTTGTGTGAGTTCATTGGAGTATGAACCTTCATAGAGTGAGGGCCAAACTGTATGAACGCCGGAGCTTGCGACAAAGTGAAAGTCAATTCTTATAATTTTGTATCACAATTTCTTACCTCAAAGGATGTAGGCAAAGATCTAAACACAGTTTTTAAAACTGACAGCCAAACAACAACCAGCTATACCGCGGAATAAAATAGTTCCCCAAAAAGAGAGGTGACATGAGCGAATGGATGCAGACCTTGCTCTTCAGAAACATGTTACGCAACACATGTGTTCATATAATATCCCCATTAGATGAGAAAGGTCTGTAATGAACTACTTCAGTAAGTCAGTCACAATGACAGCGCATCATAATACATTTACATCTAGTACAAGACGTCAAAATGGCCGACACGATAAACGTGACGGGAGTATTTCCGAAGTTGTTAATGAACCTGTGGCGGTTACATGTGTTAGTCATGATTGATCAACTGACCGATTATTAAAAGGTGATTAAAGATGCGTCAAACTGACACCAAGGTAAATTCGTAGATTGCTGGAGACGGTCACTGTCAGCCTAGACACAGATCGAATCGATACTGACGATAGTTTGGATTTTTTCGTTTGTTCATTAGGATGGGCCGTAGCGAGGAAATTCGTGAACAATAATGCAGTCAAGCTCTCTTACGTTTCTCAATGTATACTGAAATGCTGAGACCAAGATTAAAGGGTCTAAATGATCAGAAATAATGCTTATGTATGTTTCCGTGCTATGGAATTCCCAGGGGTTTCCCCAGGAATGTGGAAGTAGTCCGTTAGTGTTTACGTCATTTCAAGAACACGGTCTCGTGAAAAACGTATGAACGTCAAATTGTGTCGTTCATACACTTATGGACGTCAATTTCGCGGTCATGTGACCGACCTCTCGTCAAATGGAAAAGCCGAATGTCGTGTAAACGTCAAATTAAACAAAATATGATGTGTTGATGTAAGGGTAACACATGTACAATATGTGTTGATTTAAAGGTAACACGTGTAAAATATGTGTTGATTTAAAGGTAACACGTGTAAAATATGTGTTGATGTAAGGGTAACACGTGTACACTATGTGTTGATGTAAGGGTAACACGTGTGCAATATTTGTTAATGTTAGGGTAGCATGTGTACAATATGTGTTGATGTAAGGGTAACACGTCTACAATATGTGTTGATGTAAGGCAACACGTGTACAATATCTGTTGATGTAAGGGTAACACGTGTACAATATGTGTTGATGTAAGGTTACACGTGTATAATATGTGTTGATGTAAGGGTAACACGTGTACAATATGTGTTGATGTAAGGGTAACATGTGTACAATATGTGTTGATGAAAGGGTAACACGTGTACAATATGTGTTGATGAAAGGTAACACGTGTACAATATGTGTTGATGTAAGGCAACACGTGTACAATATGTGTTGATGTAAGGTAGCACGTGTAAAATATGTGTTGATGTAAGGGTAACACATGTACAATATGTGTTGATGTAAGGGTAACACATGTACAATATGCTGAAAGAGAAACATGTGTTTTCTATGTATTCTAACATGACATTGATGAATGCTTGATTCTGATTGGTTAAAAAGAGGTTTCCTTTTTGCTACGGAAACACCTTTCAAATATATTAATCCTTTTAAAAAAAAACGTGCGTATGAATACATAAATAGCCTAAATATCGATTCATAGAAAATGGCTGCCGATCGCGAAGCACTCGGTTCAAAATGATAATAAAGAGGTATCTATTCTACAGTGGGACTACATCAAAATTCAAAACACAGTAGGTTTATCTCCTAAATAAATATGTTGCTGTAAAAGAAACAGGTGAATACTATGTAATATATGTGCTGCTGTAAGCGAAACAGGTGTATGCTTTGTAATATATGCGTTGCTGTAAGAGAAACAGGTGTACGCTTTGTAATATATGCGTTGTTTTTAGGGAAACAGGTGTTTACTATGTTTAATAGCTGTTGCTGTAAGAGAAACAGGTGTACACTATGTAACATAGGTGTTGCTGTAAGAGAAACAGGTGTACACTATGTAACACATGTGTTGCTGTAAGGGAAACAGGTGTACACGATGTAACACATGTGTTGCTGTAAGAGAAACAGGTGTACACGATGTAACACATGTGTTGGTGTAATAGAAACAGGTGTACCCGATGTAACACATGTGTTGCTGTAAGGGAAACAGGTGTACCCGATGTAACATAGGTGTTGCTGTAAGAGAAACAGGTGTACACGATGTAACACATGTGTTGCTGTAATAGAAACAGGTGTACACGATGTAACACATGTGTTGCTGTAATAGAAACAGGTGTACACGATGTAACACATGTGTTGCTGTAAGGGAAACAGGTGTACCCGATGTAACATAGGTGTTGCTGTAAGAGAAACAGGTGTACACGATGTAACACATGTGTTGCTGTAATAGAAACAGGTGTATACTTTGTAATATATGTGTTGCTTTAAGGTAAACAGGTGTACACTATGTAACATAGGTGTTGCTGTAAGAGAAACAGGTGTACACTATGTAACATAGGTGTTGCTGTAAGAGAAACATGTGTATACTATGTAACATAGGTGTTGCTGTAAGAGAAACAGGTGTACACGATGTAACATAGGTGTTGCTGTAAGATAAACAGGTGTATACTATGTAACATAGGTGTTGCTGTAAGAGAAACAGGTGTACACTATGTAACATAGGTGTTGCTGTAAGAGAAACAGGTGTATACTATGTAACATAGGTGTTGCTGTAAGAGAAACAGGTGTACACGATGTAACATAGGTGTTGCTGTAAGAGAAACAGGTGTATACTATGTAACATAGGTGTTGCTGTAAGAGAAACAGGTGTATACTATGTAACGAGCGAACGCTTTAACCACTAGGCTACCCGACCGCACATTTAGATTGACGGAAATACATTGTTGCATAGTATGAGTGGGTCATATTTAATCTGTACTTTTTCTGAAGGTTCAAACAGCTTTCATGAAATAAATGGCAATGATGTTGAGACATTTACTTGAATGCGTTTCTAGAATGACAGAAATACATGCAACAAAGAAATCATCATATTAATCATAGTGACTGCCGGTTTGTATCGAACATCAGCTTTCCAAATCAGCCCTGCGAAATAATGAGGTCATACACTTTCATGTGTTTTCTAAACTTTGCCATCATCGCTGCCGTGTACCCATGCTTGTTCTTGGCGTCAATATCCACAATATTTTGAGACAGAATTTACTTCACCATTTCCACTTGGCCACAGAAACAGGCCACGTGCAGGATCGTGGAACCATTACTATCAACTGCAGACACATCACCTCCTTTACTAACAAGCAAGTCAAACACGTCTTTATGTCCCTCAGCTGCGGCCACAATCAATGGTGTCAATCCATTTGTTGTTTTACTGTTGATTTCCGCAATGTTCTGAGAGAGGATGTACTTTACTATATCGACATTTCCTCCAACACAGGCTAAATGTAGGATGTTATTACCATTACCATCAAATGCAGACACATCACCTCCTTTACTCATGACAAAGTCAAACACGTTTCTATGTCCCTCAGTTGCTGCAATCATCAAGGGAGTCCTCCCATACATTCCTCTACAGTTGATGTCCACAATCTTCTTTGAGAGGATGTACTTCACCATCTCAACATGTCCTCCAAGACAGGCCAAATGTAGGATGTTATCACCATTTATATCCACAAGTGAAGCATTGCCTCCTTTACTCATGACTAAGTCAAACACGTCTCTTTGTCCCTCAGTTGCTGCAAACATCAATGGTGTCATCCCGTGCTTTTTCTCTCTACTGTTGAGGTCAACATGACCTTCAGTTAAGATGTGTTGCACTCGGCTAAGATCACCCTCCCTGCAGGCTTCAGGGAGTATGTTGTCTCCAGATTTTCTCTTCTGATCTCGTTTCTGCTGTTGAGATCTCGAAGGATAGAACTTCTCCCTATCTGGAAATATGTTTATTGAGATTTGTTTCACCACAGCTAGTGACGAAGTACTATTCATGTTAACATCCTAAAACACATTTGTTTCAAAAACTACATTACATAAACATATAAATTATTCAGCGTCGTCATATCCCAACATAATTTCTAGCATCTTAAATTTAACTTAAGAAAGTTGGAAATCAAGGTTAATTCAATAGATAGTTTCGTTATCTGACAGTCTAAACATTCTATTGGTGGATTGGAGATATTTCTTGGGAGGTATTGTTTCTTTTTCTAGAAGTGCAGATATTTGCCCTAAAACCCTCAAGTAAAATAGTACTTGTAAACCAAACAAAAGATAACGGGAAGGCTATTACCTTTTACACAGACAGCTTTTCCAGATCGACTCTTTATACACCTAGAACCGAGACAGCAAGACATGTCTGTGCAGGGACCAGCGGGTACCTTTAAACAGAAGCAAACTGTCAACTGTGTGTTCTCGAATTTCTCCTCGTTCCATATTCATATGAAATCTCTGCTTAAAGCATGGACATGTGTTCACGAACATGTGTTTATGAATCACTATGACACAGTGATGAAGTAAGCGAAAAGATGAACGTATCCTGACCCACCGGTGGTACCCGTCACACATGCATTAATTTTTACTTGACGTTGCCTTTCTAGATATATACTGACGAAAAAATAGAAAATAAAAATATAGTTATTCTGTAATGAAAAACTTTATCTTGTAATACATGTTCATGAAGGTATTTCCTTGACTTTAAGGTCGTGAGACACAATGTGCACGTGCATGATCATGCACGGAGCACAATATTAATGTTTGCATGTTTGTTGGGGGCATGATACTCACACACGTGTTTCTTGTTAATGTGAATAGCACACAGTGATTGTGTAGATACTAGGTGTTCAAGAAAACATTTTTGTAAGGCAATATCGGGGTAATGGGACAAAACGAAGCTGCCAGATAATCTTAAGTTTATCAAAACACAGTATTGTCCCTTTTTTGACGATATCAGCAACATGTAGATACGTTATGTACAAACACTTGACGACACGTCCACAAGACAACCGTATTCGGTTGGTGCATCTACGGAATCGATACCAAACTGCCAAATTAACAGCTCAGACAGTCCCTGGGTTGGGCCCGGTTAGTGGCAGAACCGTACGCAAGTTGTTGATTGATTGTTGCAGAAGATTGATTCTACGTCACCGTCAGCCCCGCCTAGCTTGGTGTAGACATCTGAGGTTCAGAATCATGACTGGGACAGTAAACTGATGAGTCCAGGTTTAATCTGAACAGGTCTGATGGTCGTGCAAGGGTCTACAGGCGTCCAGGAGAACGTTTTAGCTTGCAGTACTCAACATCGCCTGTTTCGGGTCGGAAGTGTAATGGTATGGGCTTATATCAGAACTCTCGGGAGAACATAACGTCATTATAAATGGCAATTCGAATGACGTACGCTACCGGGACGAAATCGTTCGAGATCATGTTCTACCCTTTGTGGATTTAGCGTCACGGTGAAGCAGCATCGCCTCCCCCACAAACATCCCAGCCATCCACAACTCCACCCCACCCACCGTTCCACGTGTTGTAACAAACGTTTGCCATTCCTGTCTGTATCTCCAGACAACTCCCCCATAGGACATGCCTGGGATGAGATGGAACAACGTACACAACAGAACCAGAACCAGTCTGTAAGGCTACTTAATTGGGCCAATCTTTGGTTGACATTTGGAACAACATCTCCCAGGCTGTTTTCAACCATCTATTGTCTTCAATGCGCCGCCGCTGCCTTGCCTGCATCAAGGCAAATGGTGGTCGCTCCCTTTATTGACATTGTTAATTGAGTTCTCACAACACCCTGTTAACAGGTATGGGTTTTGTCAATCAATTTGATCAGACGGATGGCCAATAGTATGTTGTTATTTTAGATAACAAAATATTTACATCACTTTACATGAAACATGGTTACATTTTTCCGTTAGTATATATATATGTTGGCTGTTGGGGTAGCGTTGTGTTCTAAACGTTTGTTCACTGAAGACCCAGTACAATGTATGAAGATCATTTCTGGTCTCCTCGATTTGTGATATGAATGGACTGTTGCCAAATGCGGTGTAAAACATATCCCATTCACTCTTGATATTTGACAGTAAATTACTTTTAATTCACCTAACGTAAATTGAGTTCAAACCTAGCAGACTAATATAGAATACATTTTTTATGTACTTAATGTTTGTTCTTCAATATGATGTAATTACATAAGGAAATAATTTCTGGAATGGAATTAAACCAAATAACTACAATCACCTACATTCTTAAATAGGGTAAACATATATACAAATAAAATCAACTTACATGTAATGATTCTTTTGAAGAACAATAAATCCTTCATTCTTCTCAACTGGCTTCGATTCACCAAGTCGTAGACGACAAGTTAACGTTTCATAGCTGTATTCGTATCTCAAACAGCCGCCAGTTTCAACACATCTTACTTGGCAGAGTTTGATGCCAATGTTCCCGATAGTAGCAGAACGCTCCGTCTCCTTCTCTGTTGTTTGAACTTCACTTTGTTTGATGCTGGATGTTACCAGTCCTACCATTGAGTGTAAAGCTGCTGATACCAGGAACAGCTCCCGAAACACCCCTGAACACAGTGGAGTCATCTTCAAGTCTGCACAGAAGATGCACCAACTACCGACCACACACAGCTGGGTACGACTGCACGACTGCTGATCGACACAACCAAGGCAGACCTGTTGACTTATGTATATGGACGCCATGTGACAGATACCGTTACCGCTGTACATCTTACATGCGAGATCAATACAGCAAAGTACATTCTGGAACCATCAACGAAAATGTCATCTGAAGTTTACTGAGAAAACAGAATGTGAAGTGCTGAACGTCCTTATAGAAAATTTTACTTGAACCTTCAGGTATATCTATGACATTGTTCATTAATTGTCAATTAGGCAATTCCCTTCCTCTGATTTTTCACCTGAACTAGCCATAATAGAGACTAGTGAGACAGCCTCATCTGTTTTATGTTAAGATCTATGCATAAAGAATCAGAGTGACAAAACCTCTCTCCACAATTATGGATGGCTCGAGTGAAGTCTTCATGTTTTCAATATATGTCAAGCAACATTCCAGCAACTCCAGCCTTTGGCGTCTAAATAAACTATTTGAGGTATAATTGTACACGCGAGTCCTGCTGAAAGAGTTACAACATTCAAGGTCTTAGTATTGCTTTCTACGTTTTTATGGTTTCACGGTGGAGGGCATTTCTAAATGTTCCCAGGATTGTTTTGGACTTGCCTTTTGTTAATTAAAACTATGAGCCTAATTACTTTTTTTCTCTAAAAAAACCCAACACATTGCAGCAATGTAATTTTTTGGCAGACAATTTCTTCCTTTTTTTCCCAACAGTCTGAAGCATAACTATTTTTTTCAAAATGTGTCTAAGGCAATTTCCTTTCAGACAAATCCAAAGCTCCCCACTGGAATAATCATACAACATAGTATTTGTCCAGTTGTCAAGATGACAGCCATGGCTTGCAACCTAGATACTGAGCACTTTACAAGGTCAGTAAACCAGGTTAAATCACGTTAGCCTACAACCATATACTGATCATTATTACCCACGTGGTGAAGATACAGGTCTTAAGATACTAAATCCTTACGTCACACGTGTGTCGTACAAGGCTGACCTTGTTTAATTCGTTTTGATTGGCTAACCGTGACCTCTGTCACACCGGGACTACTTTTTTCATTCATAAAAAATCGTGAGACGTCATTCATTTTGCAACTTCAAGGCAGAACTGAAGCAATCTCATGTGAGCGAGGGATATTAACAAACAAATTCTGTTTGCATCCTATATAAGTTATGCATTGAGCTTCCAAAAACATTATATAATCGAGCTATATCCATTTACAATATTCGACTACCGTTCAATAGATCGAGGGTCCACATGAGCGTGACGCACCCGACTACTTTCGCAGCTTTCAATTTGATTGAGCGTAAATTCAGCTGATAGGTCAAGGAAACCGAACCATTTCTGATTGCACAGACGGGACACCGGCAGTGACCGACTGTCAGTCCGATATTCAAAGCGCTGGGCTAATGTGACTTTTCAAATTTTGATATCGGTGTCCTTCGTACTAACAACATGGCGCTTGAATTACCATAAGTTGAAGAATTTCTTCCAAAATGATCTTGAGCGTCGTTATTAACAACGTATACAACGTTAACCTGTATACTGTTCAGTCAACATGGTGACAGACGTTAGCTTACAACATATATATTGACCAGTAAACCAGCAAAGATACCATATTGTGTCCAGGTATGAGCGGACATTAGCCTACAAAACAAATGGTGACAAATAAACATTTAGAATATAACATATATTGTGACCAGCATCCGTACCCTATAACATATATTATGACCAGCATCCGTTACCCTATAACACATATTGTGACCAGCATCCGTTACCCTATAACATATGTTGTTACCAGCACCTGTTACCCTATAATATGTATATTGCTACCAGCATCCATTACTCTATAACACACATTGTGACCAGCATTTGTTACCCTATAACATATATTGTGACCAGCATCCGTTAACCAAAACCATATATTGTGACCAGGATCCATTGACCTATGACATATATTGTGACCAGCTTCCGTTACACGATAGCATATATTGTTCACAGCATCCATTACTCTATAACATATATTGTGACCACCATCCATTACTCTATAGCACAATTTGTGACCAGCATCCGTTACCCTGTAACATATTGTGAACGGCATCTGTTACCCTATAGCATAAATTGTGACCAGCATCCGTTACCCTATAGCATAAATTGTGACCAGCATCCGTTACTCTATAGCATAAATTGTGATCAGAATCCGTAACCATATTACACAATTTGTAACCAGCATCCGTTACCCTCTAAAATATCTTGTGACCAGCATCCGTTACCCTATAACATATATTGTGGTCAGCATCTGTTACCCTCTAACACATTTTGTGACCAGCATGTGATTCCCTATAACGAACATTTTGAACAGCATCCGTTACCCTATCACATATATTGTCACCAGCATCCGTTAGCCTATTACATCAATTGTGACCAGCATCCGTTACCCTATAACATATATTGTGACCAGCATCCGTTGCCCTATAACACATATTGTGACCAGCATCCGTTACCCTATGACACATATTGTGACCAGCATCCGTTACTCTATAAAATATATTATCCCCAGCATCCGTTAGCCTATAACATAAATTCTGGCCAGCATCCTTTAGCCTATAACATAAATTTTGAACACCATCTGTAATAATGATTGTGACCAGCATCCGTTATCCTAAAACATATATTATAACCATCCCATACCCAATAACATTAATTGTAACCAGCATTAGTTGCCACATACCATAAATTGTGAACCTCATCCGTTAACCTGTAACACAAACTGTGTTCAGCATCCGTTAGCCCACAGCATCAATTGTGACCAGCATCCGTTACCCTATAACATATATTGTGACCAGTATCCGTTACCCTACAACACATATTGGGACCAGTATCCGTTACCCTATAACATATATTGTGACCAGCATCCGTTACCCTATAGCATATATTGTGACCAGCATCTGTTACCCTATAGCATATGTTGTGACCAGTATCCATTACCCTATAACGCATATTGTGACCAGCATCCGTTACCCCATAACGCATATTGTGACCAGCATCTGTTACCCTATAACACATATTGTGACCAGCATCCGTTACCCTATAACATACATTTTGAACAACATCCGTTACCTCATCACATATATTGTGACCAGTGTCCGTTACCCTATAACACATGTTGTGACCAGCATCCGTTACCCTATAACATACATTTTGAACAACATCCGTTACCCCATCACATATATTGTGACCAGTATCCGTTACCCTATAACACATATTGTGACCAGCATGTGTTACCCTATTACACAATATGTGACCAGCATCCATTACCCTACAGCATATATTGTGATCAGAATCCATTACCCTATAACACAAATTGTGACAAGTATCCGTTACCCTACAACATATGTTGTGACCAGCATCCGTTAACCATTAACATTTTGAACAGTATACGATAACCGATCACATATGTTGTGATCAGTATGCGTTACCCTATAACATAAATTGTGACCGTTGTCTGCCATGTGTCGTATGTTAAGTGAGATATATGTGAAGTATACATAATTCATAATTTCTACATCAAGATAGCAATGGTTTGATTTGTTGGTGTGGTGAAGGGAGTGGGGTATGTGTAAGCTTTACAATATGCATACCTCCCATCAACATAACAAATGTTTCATTTGCTTGCAATACCGAAGTGAGTTAGATATATGTGAGGTATACACTATGCATACCTTCTATGAACATAGCAATGATTTGATTTGTTGTACTGGTGATGTGTGGTTAGAACCATTTATTTGCCAGCTTAGCGAAGTTCCTTAGATATATGTACGTTATACATTATGCCTTAACTTAATCCATACAGCAATAGTTTGATAAAAGTGTGTATGTGTGCGCGCGTTCACGAGTGCGTGATTTTGTGCGGACGTGCATATGTGCGATTAAATACACTTTAACTATAACGCAATTCTCTATGCAGGGTTGCGTGCTTTGGGCATGCAAGAAACCTGGGTTCGAATCCAACATTTATCCTGATTGAGTTTCTGGGTTCGTCAGCACCATATCCGATCTCGTGGCTTTCACCAAAGTGGCAATTGCCACTTCGGGTTTCCACCCACATGAAGCTGACACGTTGTGATTACACCCTTGATCACTGGAGCACTTGAATCAGCGACAGAACATTCATTTAATTATGCTCATCTGATCCATTTGCAGATTGGACTTTTTACAGGACACCAGTGAAAGATATTTTTTGGGTTTAAATTCTGGAACACATTTCTTTTGTAGATTTGAATAAATAGTTGTCTTTATTTTTTTAATTTACTTTATATCAATTGTCAATGCAGCAGAATAACCAGCCTAGATTTTCTACCTAAACAGATTCCACTTGACGTAAAGGGCAAATAGCTATGGGAGTTATATGCATGGACCACTGAAAATCAGTGATGACACCAGGTGTTCGCGAAAAGGGTAAGCATAACCTTACCCTACCGGTAGCACCCGCCATTCATATAATTTGCATAACAAATATAGTATTTCTTGCCTGACTCAGCACAGCGGTACCCAAACCTTGTGGCGTCAGCCTGTAAACGAACCAGATAATCAAGTGATCAATGAACCAGGATATTTAATGACACGAGTGTACTATTACTGATTTTGTTGAAACTAATAAAATCGGTACGTTAATTTTGAATTACGTTTGCTGTCAACCAATGTATAAATGGTTCAACTCTCGTCTCATCCCAGAATCTTAACATGAGTATGCATGCATTTTAAACACAATTCCTAGTTTCATGTAAGTTATTTTATTTATTACCCATAGCGACATGATATCGCATATCTGTCAATCATCCCGCGGGGATTCCAGGTCCCCAGCAACCTGTGCTGGTCACACAGTGGGGATTCAATGTTAGAATAGGTCCCCAGGAACCTGTGCTGGTCACACAGTGTTTACGTTGCATTGTCGAGTGATTGCTTCGTGCAACAATACATGTAGAATAGCGATTTATAAATGTTCCAAGGCAGAGGATACGTTGTCTAGTATTATATAGCTGTGTCGAGGTGCATGTAGGTACATAGAACTTTCACCTCAAATAAAACGACAATTTATGTAAATGCATGTTTTGAATTTTGGATGTGTACATTCTGTAAAAATGTATTGTATGATGCAATCAAACTGAAAATAAACCTATTTATTACTTCTATATGAACGTTTGTTACAAAGTTTGTTGGTATGAAAGTAGTGCCAGCCGTATCGGTGTGTGTGTGTGTGTGTGTGTGTGTGTGTGTGTGAGAGAGAGAGAGAGAGAGAGAGAGAGAGAGAGAGAGAGAGAGAGAGAGAGAGAGAGAGAGAGAGAGAGAGAGAGAGACATTGACTGTATCTTTGTTATGTCACGGCGTGTCAGATGGAAGGAAGGGAGGGAAGCACGAGGTGACGAAGATGAATCCCACGAACTCGGGTCTGGAACCATACTCATTGTCAAACTAAGATTCTAACCCCGATCACAGGATTCCAGAGAGTCGTCCCACGTTATCTTGACCGCCTTCTTGGTCTAGTAGTAGAGCGTCCGCCCGCGGAGCGGAAGGTCCGGCGTTCGATCCCCGGCCGCGTCATACCAAAAGACGTTAAAAGATGGTACATGTTGTAACCTTGTCTGGCCCTCGTCATTAAGGGGCTAAAACAAGGACAGGTCGGCTCGAAGGTAGTATACTGTGTCTGAGTGGGGTATTCATGTTAAACTGCGGCATGGGATCTCAGTGAGCTAGCACTAGTAATCGGCATGAGTCCGGACTAGTACAAGCAGGCACACACACGTGCAAGCACGTCGCTATACAGTGCGAAATTCTTGGACGCGACGTTAAACCACATTTCACCTCATCTCACGTTATCTAAACGGGTCCGATACCAAGGACTTTGGCTGCGAACTCTGGTTCAACATTTACCACCCAGGGATACCGCTATTTGCCCTCGTTATTTCAACAGCTGTCCGGATGAGACACATCTTATGTTCTCCTGAGACACATCTTATGCTCTGTCTCGTCACGATATGGCTGAAATATTGCCCATGTGACGTTAAATAATAACTCACTCACTCACTTATGCTCTGTGCCTTCGTCCTCTGTCGTGGTGTAGTGGTAGAGCGCCTGCCCTTAGAGTGAAACGTCAGTGTTCGATCACCTGCCGTGTGATGCCTCAAGACGTTAATATGGAACTTGTTGTTATCCTGCCTGGTGCTTGTCATTAAAGAGGATAAAATAAGGACCGGTTACCTCGGAGGCAGTATATTGTGTCTGAGTGGGGTATTCATGTTAAACTGTGACATGGTATTTCAGTGGGCTAGCACTGTCAAACCAGCCTTAATCTTGATCTGCGCACAGACAGACAGACAGACAGACAGATAGACAGACAGACAGACAAATAGACAGACATATAGACAGGCAGACACAGAATGCACAGTAGTGGTCTGTACCTTCTCATCGGGTAAGTATTCATGTATTCGGGTAAGTATTCAACATTTTCTCACGAGGCACCTAAACACGTGTCATGTATAATATAATAGAACTGTTAAACGGATACCTCCAACATTAAATATTACAGGTTGAATAGTCTTTTTGTCAAATCGCCCAATACCAGCTTTGACTATTCAATAAAAAATATTATTAGATAAGGAACAACGCTCAGTACTAAATTGTTCACTTGGAATAATGCACAATCAAAGCACATTTGATTTGACCAAGATTTAACGTTATGAGGGAATTTGTAAAAATACCGCCACAAAATACACACGAAGAATTACACCTTTTGTTTAATGTCTTGATTTATCATCAGATGATCATATTTATAAGTAAGTTCCTTATTGCAATCACGAGAATAGTACAATCAGGAATTCCGCACACCCACCGAATTCTGGTCCAAAACCATTATTTGACATAAGCTATACAAAGCAGAGTTCGAACGATTCCCGTTTCGTAATTTGGTAAAGTATTTCCTGTGGAATATTTACTCGTCTTTTTCATGCCTTGAAATTGTTTGAATCATCAAATCTATACAATTTGTTTATAAACAGACCATTATTTGGACAACATTCAGTTTTGTGTGCAAACCATGCTTGCCGTTAAAGGCGACTATACTTGTCGTTAAAGGCGACTATGCTTGTCGTAAGCTAACGGGATAGGATGGACAGGCTGGCTGACTTGATTGATCCATGTCATCGTATCCCAGTTGCTTGGATCGATACTTATGATGTCAATCACTGGATTGTTTGGTCCAGAGTCGATTACTTACAGATCGCCGTCATACAGCTGGAATATTGCTGAGTGCAGCGTTAAATAACAAACAAACACAATCTTACACGGGAGCGCACCAACCCAACGTGGAGGATCCGGAAACCAGCCTAAATAGTGAGTGACAGCAGTCCTTCTCTTAGACTTGTTTGCCTGCCCTAAGTACGCTTGCGTTCCTCGTCGCTTGGGGGCGAAGGACAGGGTACCAGTCTAAGCTGGGACACGTTTCTCATATCACAATATCATTCGTGACCAACTAGTATTATTCTCATGTATAATGTAGGTTACGGAAAGGGGCGAGTGGTGTCGAATGCTTCTCTTAGATGGGAGAGCAACGACAACAAGCGAAGGATGCGAGAAACAGTCTACGCTAGTGCTGTGCAGGAGCTTCCTTTCGCTTTGTGAATACAAGGTAGCGCCGGGAACGAGGCATTGCTGTGAGAAGCTGGGATATACAAATATATTTAGCAGTGTGTTTTTCTAAATGCAACGTGTCTTGACAGAGTGCGGATCTCGTCCAGGCATATCTCCATGATACAACACAGTAAGTAAGTGTCGGCGGATTTGTGCTTGTCTGTAATCATCATTGTGTAACTATTTATTGTCGGGTTGAATTTGAGAACGAATAGATCAGTGTGTATACTGAAATAGACACGATGTTGGTGACTGAGATAACGAAACTAGCCCAGTAGCGTCAGGAAGTACAACGTCCTGTTTGTTGGTTTCGTTGTTACAGAATGGCGAAATCCAACAGATAAAGAAACAAAGGATACATTTCTTTTTACTCACAAAGATCGCTGCATGTTGGCTTATTTTTACAAAGATTTACATGCATTTGGGATCGTAATTGATACAAAGAAAAACAGACCAGTTTGTGTTACTTCCTTGTGAAGATCTGGGGCAGAATATAGGTCACTAGCAACCCAAGCTTGCCGCAAAAGGCGACAACGCTTATCGTAAAGGGCGACTAACGGGATCGGATGGTCAGGGTCGCTGACTTTGTAGATTCATGTCATCGTATCCCAATTGCGTGGATCAATGCTCATGATGTCAATCTCTGGACTGTATTTACAGACCGCAATCATATTGCTTTAATATTGCTAAGTGTGGCGTTAAAGAACAAAGAAACAAGTTTGTGTTACGTCAAAACTACCCATTCTTAATTTCAGCTCGTGTCGTTAGGGGCCGTCCATCGTCCGTCCTTTGTAAAGACTTCCGCCCGTACCCCCTCCAAAAGTTATGTATTATATCAGTGCAGTCCTTTTCATTACATATATTTTTAGGTGGGGTACGGGTGGAAGTCTTACCAAAATATACAAGTTTTTTAAAATAATTACCTTAATTTAAAAAAATACTGACTACCTAGAATCCGACCACTCTCCTACCAAGAGTTCCATGTGATCAGCAAAGTACCAGCACCATGTGATGATTCGTCACATCTTACACAGTCCATTCAAGATATTGCATATGCTTTTCATCTGTTTCATTTTGGACAAGTCTACATATCTAGATAACCATATGTCACAGAATGGTTAACTTTTATTGAGAAAATATCCTAAATCGTTAATAACTATTTTCAATTTGCGTATGTTATACTATATTTACATTGGTTGTACGGCTCCACGTGCAGTCATCGAAGCCCTACGGAGAGCTAGCCATGCGGTCACTTTGATGTGTAATTGTCATGCAACTCACTATCGCAGTTGTGGTAGTATATTTATATAAAATATGCAAAACAATATGTAAAGCGCCCCCAAATACTTGCATCAGTCCGTTCAATTGTAATCTGAAGAAACGCGTTTATTTACAAACAAGGGAAAAGTCCGGTTACTTGAAATGCAAATTAGCCGGTGTCATGCTAAGCCACCACTGCCCCGAAGTGTGGAATCCGTCCTCAGCAATGTCCAACAATTCCATTTTATGATCAGGTGGCTTATATTTGCATAAAACGATCAATACAAAGGCAACCATAACACACACTTTTTATCCCGAAATAAATAGGATAAATAGGCACTTAATATTTCTCAGATGAGCCTAAAATTTGAATATCGTTTTCTCTCTTTATTTAGCACAGATTAATGTATTTCCTTTTATTATATTAGTAAATAACCAAAAGAAACAATGACAATATTATAACTAAGAATGTGAGACAACACACTTACGAAATATTTTCTTCCAACATATACTTTTGAGAATGCATAGAGGTTATCACGTGTTTTTTTTAGGAAGGTAAATATTTTGTATCAAACATACACATTGTATTAGGCCAGCTATGACCATGTATGGCCACTTTATTTTTTTACTAAAACAAATGCTATACAGTGCAAAATTCTTGGACGCGACTTGAAACCCCATTTCACCTTACCTCACGTTATCTAAACGTGTCCGATACCCAGGACTTTGGCTGCGAACTCTGGTTCAACATTTCCCGCCCAGGGATACCGCTATTTTCCCTTGGTATTTCAACACGTTGTTCTCCCAAGGCCTCCCACGCCATACCGGATGAGACACATGATATGTTCTCCTGAGACACATTTTATGCTCTGTGCCTTTGTCCTCTGTCGTGGTGTAGTGGTAGAGCGCCTGCCCTTAGGGTGAAACGTCGGTTGTTCGATCACCTGCCGTGTTATGCCTAAAGACGTTAAAATATGATACTTGTTGTTACCCTGCCTGGTGCTTGTCATTAAAGAGAATAAAATAAGGACCGGTTGGCTCGGAGGCTGTATATTGTGTCTGAGCGATCAGACCAAAAGAAACAAATGTGAGACAACACACTTACAAACTATTTTCTTCCAAAATATACTTTTGAGAATGCATAGAGGTTATCAGGTGTTTTTTTTAGGAAGGTAAATATTTTGTATCAAACATACACATTGTATTAGGCCAGCTATGACTTTATTTTTTACTAAAACAAATAATGAAATTTGGTACTTTTGTAGTTAGCAGTGGGGCTCAACATGAATCTGTAAATATCTGTCATGCACACATTGTTCAATCTGAAACCCATAACGTTGTGAGTGTGTAGTTTTTATACAATCATAAATCATGTTTCTCTAGGAGAGTTACCTCCCTTATGCCAAGCGTACTATATGTTTACTCCTTTACCCTGACACGTCAATTATTCACGCTGTACAATAGTCCTCACACCAGCTACACGGAAAACAGGTCAACATTCACGCCTGTCACCATGACAACAACTTGGTCCCCTTGATCATTGAGCACGAAAAAATATTTTCATACTGATTTATACATTTCATATGTACACATATTATTTTACATGTTTGAGGCAAATATATGGTTTCTTTAAAAACAGTTTAGATCTATTTAATTCATTACTCGTATCATAGAGTTTGTCCCCCTTTTATCATAGTGCTCGACTAACAGTAACTTCTTCAGTGTACCAATGTACAGTTAGGAAAGTTGACATGACTCGCCAAACCAAGAGCCGAGAGCAGGGACCCAGTGCGTTACCCAGTCTAACTAGTTGGTGACAGTAGGCTTTCTCTTAAACTGGTTTGTCTCCCCGAGTGCTCTTGCGCTCTTAGTCGCATTACTTGTGCCGCCCCTAGGAGGCGAAGGACAATGTATCAGTCTAAGCTGGGCCCGTCTCTCATATCACAATTTAACCTTGACGCAAGTTGATGATGCGCATATGGAGCCTGTAACCAGGTTAGGTACCAGTCTATTCTGGATGGGAGAGCAGCGACATCAATCGAAGGATGCGGGAAACAGTGTACACTAGCGCTGTGCAGGAGCTTCCTTCCTCTATTTGAAAACAAGGTAGCGCCGTGAACGAGGCATCGCTGTGAGGAGCTTGAATATACATATATATTTAGCAATGGTTTTTCCAGCTTCATTGTGGCTTTTCTTGACAGGGGGTTAGGAGCTCGTCCACACATTTCCCCATGATACAACACAGTTAGTGAGTGTCGACAGATTCATTCTTGTCTGTAATCATCACTGTGTGACTTGTTATTGTCGGGTTGAATTTGAGAAGGAATAGTTGAGTGTGTATACTGATATAGACGCGATGTTGGTGAGTGAGATAACGAAACTAGCCCAGTAGCGTCAGGAAGTACAACTGTGTTTGTTCGTCCCGTTGTTACTGAATGGGGAAATCCAGCATATAACATAAACAAGGGATAGATATTATTTTTACTCACAAAGATCGCTGCATGTAGATTTATTTTAAAAATGTCTTGCGTGGATTTGTCGTGGTTATTACGTGGTTCTTTACTAAAAGATAATGAAATTTGGTACTTTTGTTGGTAGTAGGGGGGACCTCAAAATGTATCTGTAAATGTCTGTCATGCACACATTGTTCAAATTGAAAACCATATTGTTATTTTTTATACAATCATGAACCATACCTCTCCAGGAATATGAACTCCCCAATGCCTACCATACTGTATGCTTACTCCTTTGGCCTGACACGTCAATTATTCACGCTGTAGAAAAGGGCTCACACCTCGCTACATGGAAAACAGGTCATCATTAACGCCTGTCAACATGACAGGGTTTGGCCACCTTTGATGTTTGAGACATGTTTTAAAAAATATTTTCATTATGATTAATGCATTTCATATGTACGCATATTATACATGTGAGACAAAAATATGGTTTCTATAAAAAGTGTTTACAACTATCTCACGCATTGCTCGTATCATGGAGTTTGTCCCCCTTTTATCATAGTGCCCGACAAACAAAAACATGTTCAGTGTACCAATATACAGTTAGGAATGGTTTAACCTTTAGCCTGCTGAATTGTTTTAGCATAAGGCGCTGTAAAGAGGGTGATAAGGTATCTTTTAAAACTTACATCTTTCCAAATATTACCCATCCACAAGTATCTTTCCTCACAAGCTAGTGCCGTGAAAGAGGCTTCGCTGCGAGGAGCTTTGATATACAGCTATATTTAGAAATGTTTTTTTCCAGACGCGATGTTGGTGACTGATTTAACGAAATTAGCCGGGTAGCGTATTTTTGAGGGGGTATACGGCCGGAAGACTCACCTTTTGCCATAAGCATTGTATTAAGCCAGCCATGGGTATTTATGGCTACTTTTTTAATTATTTACTAAAACTGTAATGAAATTTGGTACTTCAGGTTTGTTTTTGAGATACAGATACTATTTCATGCTTTTCGTCAAATACCATGTACTCATTAAGTGAAGTTTGAAAACCATAATGTAAAAGCTGTTGTTTTTGTTTCGCACCAGTGGGAAAGTGCACGAATACATGTACACCACAAAGTGACAATCATGGCAGAAGATCTGTGACCCACTTCACCATATGTTTGTGGTACAATAGTCAAACAAGAACATTACAGACATCATGGTGATATTGTTGTGTAATATGAAAGTTATAGGACATCACGTAGTCAATACCACAAGTTGAATAATTGTTTATTCATCTTATTTTGTTCTGCTTTTACGCTGACAAATAAAGCAAGGGAGACAACTTTCAAGGGCGGTAACTGTGGATGAAATTTGTTCCGTCATCCCAGGGCCATATTTTTTGTATTTTCACACAAGTGAAAATACTGGTTTTTGTTTTCATGACAGTGAAACATGACTTTTGGTGAAAAACAACAACCTTTATAACTGCATATGTCACACTCATTTCTATAATAAATGTATTGTTTGCAGTTTTTACTTGCAGAGATTTTAGTGAAAGCTAGCACTGATTTGACAAAATATCCAGGAGAGCTACAGTGCTGTGGCAGAATTCTCATACTTGATACACTTATACCAATCTTAAGGCTGTCCTCCAGGCAGACACTGTACACGTCAGGACTTTTTTCTTGTAGGATGATGATGAGTTACATGCCGACTTAGATTGAAGACACTGATGAAAAACAAGAAACAGTGAAGAAGGTTCAAAGACTGAATCAGAACGATCAAGGCCAGATGGATGATAGTGACACAGAGTGTGGAGGATGTACACCAGCAGTGTGCCCTGGGAGTCAAAATGACGGGGACACGTCATCAGGCGGGGAAAACATGGAGCTTGCAGGTATTCCCATGGACAACCCTCAAGGAACAACTGAAGGAGCAGGCAGTACTCCGGAGGATGCAGAAAGAAAAGATGGTGATGAAGAGAGTACTGACGAATTCTTGTTTGATGACATCACAGATGAGGAAGAGGGGGAAGGAATAGAAGACTTGTCACAGCTTGGAGCAGGTACTGTAGCCGTCAAACTCCAGACTGTTCAACAAGAGTCATACCAACTTGTAGAGAAAGGTTTGTATGAAGCAATTTCACTTTGCTTGTTGAGGATGCTGTTTTAAAATCCCACCATGTCAGTGGCTGTTAAAGACAGTTAGGTGCTACCTGAGGAATTGAAGCATATGGACAGGAAAATATTTTTTAATTGATAAGATAGATACTAGTATTTTGAAATCCAACTCAATTACTGAAATTAACATGTGTTTTCCAATGAGAAACACATCACCAATCGCACCTGAAGAACAACCATAGTAAAGTGTATCTGCCAGATAGTCCCGTTACTACACTTTCTATCACAACGAGGGGCGGTCAGGAAGCCAAGTGGTTAAAGCGTTTGCTCGTCACGCCGAAGACCCAGGTTCAATTCCCGACATGGGTGCAATCTGTAAAGCCCATTTCCGCTGTTCCCTGCCTTGATATTGCTTGAACATTGCTAAAAGCGACGGAAAAACCATCCTCAACCACTTACTGTATCACAACGTGTTCAGTGTATTTACTACTGCATTAACTTTTTCAAGTACTTACGATAGTGTGCATATAAGTTTCGACAAAATCGTGTGGAGCCTTGCACAATCCTTTATCTGAACTGTATCTCACTGTAACTGTTTGTTACCACGGCTAGGGTGGTGAAAATAAACCTTTTGGGGATTTGGTATTGAGCTACAGCTGCAAAATCAGATTTTGTTAAATGAGTCTAAATATGTTTTACTTAAAAACACCTTGTAACAATGTTATTTTAATGGCAGACACTGTCTTTTTCAGTGGTATTTTGTTTGAAACTGAATCGGAGATAATTCATATTTTAGATATATTTTTCAAATGGCTTGATATCCAACTGTGACATGCTTGTTCCTTCGTAGATACTACGACATTAGCACAACACATTGTGGGATGTTGTCAACAACCACAGGCAGAAATAGCGTCAACACCACAGCAGGGGACACAACTCCAACCAGCTTCAGATGGTGATGTTGATCAGACAACAAGCCAGGCACAACTGTCCTCAACTACATCTTGTGTAGTTCCTAACACAACCAGTCTACAGGACCCGCCAACGGCAGCCCTGACACCAGCGTCCACATCATCCCTTCTACCCAGAATACCAGGATCTGTTGTATCAGAGATACAGTCGTCCGGGCTACCTGTGGTACCAGTGACTGGTGATTCTTCTGTAGGTGAGTGCAGATAAACATGGACATGACTAATTGCTCAAATATCTAATACCTATAACATGGTGTTTTCAAATGACTTTGCTTTTTTAAGCTAATAGGCTATGACAGTATTTCCTTAATTATTTTACAGGGATGGCATTAACCCTATACAACCACTATACAAGGTCTAGCTCTGCTCAATTGCAGGTTTTCCACTTTTGAGAACAACCGAAACAAGAAAGTCACCATTTACGAAAATAAGAAGAGGTTATCACGCGAGTGTGTTTGAGGATGGTAAATATTCTGCATTAGGGATATACATTGTATTTATCGAGCCTTGGCGAGCTAAATACATAGTGTTTATTCCTAATACAGGATATTGACCATCCACAAGCGTGATAACCTCTTTATCATATTATGTCATTCTTTAATTCTGTGCTTGAAAACTGCTTTCCCTGTCTCACAAGCATTATAGAAACATTGCGAGTTTTCCTGAAATGCGAGCATTAATATTTATTGAGTCACAGGGTAAGTGATGTGACAGTCGGACAGCGACAGAAGCCAATATAGTTCCAACTGAAATCTGTTCTTATACAGTGGCGAAGCAACATATACGCAAAACAACAATTGTTTTTACTTGCCTTTCGCGGCAATCCATCGGTCTGTCCGCTAGAGTAACTGCCCTTTGTCAAAGGGAAGCTACTCTAACCCTAGTCTATTAGACGTCACGCCCACGTTTAGACGTTGTTGACAGTCGGCCTATCCTGTCATAACGTTAAGAAGTACAGTCAGATGTACACACAGCGACAAAACGAAACAAGGTAACAATCCAAACATAGTTCGGCCAAATCCAACTATTTTAATTTGTGGAAAAGGTTTCAAGCTGCAGAGGCCTACAAGCACAGATATGGCTACTGATCCCGCTTGGCTAGGCCTAGTGCCCTCGCAAAGTTGTTTGGAAATTTATATCTCCAAAGTTACCAAAAGATGCCTTAGCTACGTTACAGTTAGACACTGATTTTCAGTATATTAGACTGATCTTTTGATAATGAGTGCAGTTATCCCTGTAGTTTATCCAGATGCCCAATGGTTAATTCTGACTCGATCGCCGAATGACAAGGGCGACGCCATGTTTGTCCCTACCTGACCTTTGATATTTGCATCTCTACTCACACATGACCCCAACGGATATCGTTTTTATCCGTTGGCTTTATCCTGCCGAGAAACCTACCCATTATATGATAAAACAACTTATATGCCGTAGCAGTTCGATGTCTGTTTATGACAGTTGTCAGTTTTCAGTATCATAAGAGATATCTAAGTTCAAATATGGAAAACAACCCTGAAGGCTTAGGTTATATGGTTTCTGTTACAGTCGCCCAGTACAACCTTATCGAAGTACGGCAGCAGTTTGGAGATGTGACAGTCCAGGGCGCCAAGAATCTGAACATTGGCGGAACGCAGAACATTGGTACACCTCAGACCAACCCAGAGGAAGAGGAGAAGCCACTGACTGCTGCACAGAAGATCAGGAGTAAGTTAGCTGCTCTACTTGTTCTCACAAGGATCGATCAGCTGAAGGCGTTTTCTAGTAAATGCTGACTGTAATAATCTTCATATTCGTTACAACTGTCACCTCGTGTACATAGTTTAAGTGTTCATGACTACAATTAACTTTGCGTTTTGTAAGCAAGTGATAAACCTAGTAAAGCCACTGAAGTATTATTTCTTGATCTCTGTTACATTTTACATAATGTTACATCACTACAGGACTATATACAAACTGTAGTGTGTCCATAGGATTTGTTCGTCTAAATCACTCAGATCAAATGTAAGGTCGTGTCTAGTGATACAACATACCCAGTAGATTTGATACAACATATATGGCAACTCCTAAGTACCTGGTGGATAAAATCAACAAATATATAAGAATCAGAATTTCTGTTTAGATTGGAAAAGTGAAAACAAGGTAATTTGGCCCAGACGTTTATCTTAGGCTTCAGGTATATTAGTGATCGGATATCAGTCAATGATCCTTTCACTGATTTAGCCACCTGAACTACAAATAAGGGAGACCAGTCAGACCGCCTGGGCTGTTTTTCGTATTTAGATCTATGAATGAAGATGCTGAGTGAAACAACACCTCTCCATAAGACTGTACGACAAGGGGAGTGACTTCAACTTTCAATAGTAAAATGTCTCTTTATGCCAAGCAGGATACTTACCCTCACCTACTTGCAAGGACCTGGTATCATCACTATTTGATAGTGATCATAAACAGGTGCTTATGATATTTAGACAGAATGATTCAGTGGACTGTTTCTTATGAATATCGAAATGGTTTTGTCACTTTAATTCTATACTTTGGTATTCTGGCTGCTTCGTTCATATGAACATTCTGTTATGATCCACAAGCACAGCAGGCACTATTCAAACATTACTTAAACTGTCTGTCTGTTCAGAACAAATAACTTGCAGACCAATATCGAAAAACATAGAAATGCTTTGAAAAGCAGTGTTTCAATTTAAACAATTTGAAGGTGGCACATTCGATTCAAGAGGTTTTGTGCAAACTATTGATTGTATATCGACAATATTCAACATTCACGGGATGTATTTAGTATTGTCCAACCTCTCAGTGAAATAATGTAATATGTTACTGATTTTTTTACAGTCCTTGTTGACAGAATTATATTTCATAGAAAATTTGTAAACATTGTAGTCACGATATGGATGAAGTTTTGTTAAAATGTTAACTCACTATCTCACTGACACATTTCAAAATAAGGGATCTCAGAGTCAAACTGTATGTGATTGATAACATTATTCCTTTAATCGAGGTCAAATTTAAATATGGCAGACTGTATACTTTTACACATATTTTTATATAGTTTTATATATATATATCAAATGTGCCTTGCTTTCACAGAAAGAACGGAATCTAGGATTCAGTCAATGACTAAAGACATGGTGGAGACAGAAGCCCTCCAGATAGTGACGGAGAAGCTGGACAGAGGAGCAACGTGGGTGACAATTAAAGGAAGGCCAGGAGAGGGGAAGTCTACAATAGCCTACATGGCCCTCAAAGATCAGCACACTCAGGGGAGACAAGTGTATCAGGTGGTGTCACCAGAAGAGTTCAATGAGGTCATAACGGCCAGCACAAACCCTGTCATTATGTTAGATGACATATTTGGTGATCTAGAATTTGATGTAGCAGAATGGGCCAAGTGGAGGCCAAGTCTACGACCTTTTGTGGATATGAAGGATACAGACAAAACCACTGAAAAAGACTCTATAGATAAATCCACTAAAAGCAAAAAAGAGAGAACAAAGGATGAGCAAACAATTCTAAAGAGAACAGCACCAAACAAAGGCAAAACGATCATTATCCTCATAGGCCGTGACTATGTGCTGAAATCCTCACTGGCAGACTTGGGAAGGGTGGCAGATTACATATCTAGTCCCCAGTATATGGTGGAAGTTTCCTCACAGAGAGACTCTAATGAACGAAGGAAGATATGGCATGTTCATGCCAAAACAAAAAACATAGACTTTGATGAGTCAACCGTGTCTCGGATATGTCAAACTGACTGTCCACACGGCTTTCCCCACGTGTGTAAAATGTTTGTCACAACATATGAAAAGGATCAGACTCAGCTTCCAGTAGATAAGTTTTTTCAAGCGCCTCTAGCATTCCTCAAACAGACCCTAGATAAATTCCTTAAAGATGAGATAAAGATTTCCCTGTTCAAGGCTATGATTAAAAGTGATGGAAAGATTAGTGGACAAGAGTTGGAAGAGGAGGATGCCCATGGATACAAATACATAACAGCTGCTGATGATTTAGTTGGATCTTACCTCAAGAAGGAAGATGACACATACATGTTTGACCATCCCTCTCTATATGACTGTGTCGCTTTAATTCTCAGTACAAAACAATCAAAGTTTGTCATCGATTTTTGTAGTTTGTCATTCATCCATCAGCGACTTCGTCTTAAAGCCTCCACAAGACCAGGGGAAAACGTTCCTGGTGAGACAGATCTTGTTGCAAACATCTCATGGAACTATGCTAAACATCTAGCAAGAAGATTTGCAACTGAAATTTCAAGGAGCAATTTGTTGCATGTCTTATCGCACCAGGCATGTTGTAATCCAGAGTTTATTGACTTGCTAATGGTCTGCCTGAAGACACAGTGTCACATGTCTGTTTCTGATATTCTCAAACTAGCTGATAACTCTTCAAAACAGACATTTTGTGAATTAATTTCTAGCAGCAAGTCACATCATCTCATCAAATTTATTATTGAGAAAGAACACAGAACATTCAGCCAGCGTGAACTGAGATACATTTTACTTGGGGTGTGCATGAATGCTGCTTGCAGTGTACTGACCTATATCAGTGAACACCATCAGCTTGAGATAGATGCTAGATATGTTTGGGGATGGAAAACACCGCTTATGTTAGCAGCAGAAACCAAAGACACTGTGTTCGTTAATCAAATTCTGGCCCTTAAGCCTAACCTGAATGCAAGAGACAATCACGGTCAAACTGTCCTTCAATACCTTTGCGCATATGGCCTTACATCAGCTGTGAAACATGCAATTAACATGGGCGTGGATGTTAATGAGCAGAATGTACCATTGTTTGGTCCTTACCCGCAAACCCCTCTATATCGTGCCATAACAAATGGTCATGTTGAGGTGGTGGGACTGCTGCTGCAAAAAGGATGTGATATAGATAAACAGAGAGGTCTTAAATGTGCATTGAAGAGCCAGAACACGCATATGACGCGTTTTCTTTTAGACAGAGGAGCACAGGTTGGTGGTGATGCTTTGCACACTGCTTGTCTGTTGAACAATTTGTCTATCATCAAGATGTTGTTTGAGGAGGGTGCTAAAGTTGACATGATTTCATCTGCAGGGGATACTCCTCTTCACGGTGCATGTGACCCTAATGTTGTCTCGTTTTTGTTGGAGAACGGAGCTAACGTGAATGTCATGAATAAAAGGGGTGAGACACCACTTCATGGAGCAGCAAGGAATGGATATACAGAGTGTGTTGATCTGTTACTGAAGGCTGGAGCTAATGTGAATGTACAGAATAATGCAGGTGACACACCACTTCATAACGCAGCAGCAGCAGCAGAAGGCTTGGGATCTGCAGGGTGTGTTAATGTGTTACTGAAGGCTGGAGCTAATGTGAATTTACAGAACAAAACAGGTGATACACCACTTCAAAAAGCAGCAGCAAGGAATAGATCTACAGAGTGTGTGGATGTGTTACTGAAGGCTGGAGCTTATGTGAATGTACAAAACAATATAGGTGTCACACCACTTCATACAGCAGCAGGAAAGGCATGGTATGGATTTATAGGGTGTGTTGATGCGTTACTGAAGGCTGGAGCTAATGTGAATGTACAGACCAAAACAGGGTACACACCACTTTATGCAGCAGCAGCAACGGCAGCAATAAATGGATCTACACAGTGTGTTGAGGTGTTACTGAAGGCTGGAGCTAATGTGAATGTACAGAACAATACAAGTGAAACACCACTTTATGCAGCAGCATGGTGTGGATATACAGCGTGTGTTGATGTGTTACTGAAGGCTGGAGCTGATGTGAATGTACAGAATAATACAGGTGACACACCACTTCATAAAGTAGTAGCAGTAGTAGCAACAAGGGGTGGATCTACAGAGTGTGTTGATGTGTTACTGAAGGCTGGAGCTAATGTGAATGTACAGAATAATACAGGTGACACACCACTTCATAAAGCAGTAGCAGTAGTAGCAGCAAGTGTTGGATCTACAGAGTGTGTTGATGTGTTACTGAAGGCTGGAGCAAATATGAATGTAAAGAATAATACAGGTGACACACCACTTCATAAAGCAGTAGCAGCAGGAGCAGCAGCATGGAATGGATCTATAGAGTGTGTTGATGTGTTACTGAAGGCTGGACCTGATGTGAATGTCCAGAATAATGCAGGTGACACACCACTTCATAAAGCAGCAGCAGCAACAAGGGATCGATCTGCAGAGTGTGTTGATGTGTTACTGAAGGCTGGAGCTGATACGAATGTACAGAATAATACAGGTGACACACCACTTCATACAGCAGCAGTGGCAGCAGCGAGATATGGATCTACAGGGAGTGTTGATGCGTTACTAAAGGCTGGAGCTTCTGTGAATGTACAGAACAATACAGGTGACACACCACTTCATAAAGCAGCATGGTATGGATCAACAGAGTGTGTTGGTGCGTTACTGAAGGCTGGAGCTATTGTGAATGCACAGAACAATACAGGTGACACACCACTTCATACAGCAGCAGCAGCAGCAGCAGCAGGGGATGGATCTACAGGGAGTATTGATGCGTTACTGAAGGCTGGAGCTTATGTGAATGTACAGAATAATACAGGGAACACACCACTTCATAAAGCAGCAGGAGCAGCAAGGTATGGATCTACTGGGAGTGTTGATGTGTTACTGAAGGCTGGAGCTTATGTGAATGTACAGAACAATACAGGTGACACACCACTTCATAAAGCAGCATGGCATGGGTCAACAGAGAGGGTTGGTGCGTTACTGAAGGCTGGAGCTAGTGTAAATGTACAGAACAATATAGGTGACACACCACTCCATGCAGCAGCAGCAGCAGAAGGGTGGAGATCTACAGAGTGTGTTAATGTGTTACTGACAGCTGGAGCTGATGTGAATGTACAGAACAATACAGGTGACACACCAGTATTTCATTGACCAGGTCATCCAAAACCTTATCAGAGATATGCCACTGTTATTAGAAATAAATGGTAATAATATATATAATCCCAGTGTCATTGCTGAGAGAAGGTTATGGATGTCGGACAGTTTGTGATATTAGCAAGCTCTTCTCCCTTAATCCTTTGTACCACTTCGTTACTGTTGGTGTGAGGGTTTTATGTCGTTGATGGATGTTTTTTTTGGGTTTAACACCGCACTCAGCAATATCCATGCTGTTTGATGGCTGTCTGTAAACATTATAGTGATTGACACATTATAGTGATTGACATCATGAGCATCGATCTTTGCAATGGGCGATCTTGTTCAATTCATCTTCCTTTCACTCACCCGGCTGGTGCACTGACTTGGACGGTCCAACCTTAAACTGACGGCGCATGTGGTACGAGCGGTACATTCCACGTCGCTTTGTTGATGGTTTGCAATCGGTACTGAAAGTGATTGCCTTTGATGTTTGAATATCACACTTTTAGAAATGAAGTAGATTTTCATTGTATATATACCCATATCTATGTTGTAGTATCGCCAATCACGCTACATCATATGCATGCATTTCAGTACAGTGGTAAGGCGATGGGGTACGCGAAATGTGAAGGTCTTATGAAACGTAAAGTTACAAGTTGCCTAAATGTTGTGAATTTCGACAGCAACACATGTAAGTATTTGTCAGGTATATAAGTGAGAGAAGTGTGAAATGTTTTCAAGAAATTGCAAAAGAAAATAGGCAGTGACAAATAATGGCATCAGCTAGATAGCACAATACAATGTTCAATATAAAACAAATGAAAATCACTTAAATCGATCTTGATATTTAAGGGTTAGTTAGGGCCAAAAAGAGTTTATAACTTGGACACATTTAAGATCCCCACGGTATCACCATATGTACAATTGCTGAGTAGAATGAGAGGAATGCAGGTTCTTGCCTTCCATTATATGCACATTCTCTGTCGGAATATAGATTGTTGCATGCATATGTAGCAACAATTTGATTTTGATTTTATATTTTTGATGCCTTTCCTATTCATCTGGAATTTTTTCAGTCATTCCTTATAAATATTGTTTCAACTTCAATAAACTTGATTTGTATATAAAAAACTTTGCCTTTGTTTTCATTAATGTTCCACTCCTGAAGTGAAGTTATCCTAATACTGTGATGTACCGCAGCTTTTCCTTTTAACCGTTACTACAGGACAGTGACAAAAGTTATTTCTCATTGGATGTTAATTGACTTTTTATAAAATTGATTTGCTTGAATAGTCCAGAATGGCTGATTAGATTTGTACTAGTTTAGTACATAAATTTGTCCGAAACAACTCGGTGTTGTATAAACAAAGTGGGTGGGGCTTAATAGCTGATTTACCGGTGAATTTTAGAAGTTGTCTTCCCATACAGATGGAGTTGAAATGAGGTTTAACGTCACGTGCAAGATTATTGCAGATATACAGCGACGCACATGCACGAGTGTGTAAGTGTTTGTATGGCTGCTTGTTCTAGTCTTGATTGATGCCGATTTATAGTGCTAGTTCACTGAGATACCATGCCGCAGTTTGACATTAATAACCCATTCAGACACAGTATACTGACTCCGAGCCGAGCAGTCCTTGTTTTAGCCCCTAAATGCCGAGCGCAAGACAGGGTAACAACAAGTATCGTCTATCGTCTTTTGGTATGATGCGGCCGGGGATCGAACCCCGGACCTTCCGCTCCCCGGGCGGACGCTCTACCATTAGGAGACGGAGGCAGTCATTTTCACCGCCTTTGATACTCGGTATTGTATAGATGGAGTGGGGCCCGAGGGGAGAAAGTGAATCCAAACTTGGAATCTATATAGACATATGCTTGACATCATAGCACAAATTCATTCATGTTTCCAAAATCTGCCTCGGAGTCTGTTTCCATCCCTGGTGACCGGCTCGAAAAGGTCTTTTTATGTCACAATTACCTGACAGATCGTCATCCCCATCGTATATACCCAAGCTCATCGTTAGACAATACATCCATGCTTCCAGGACTGGCCCTTCTGTTCATCTGTCCGGCACTCCCAAACGAGTTACATCCAGTGTGCTTTGACAATCATTGGATGATTGTAATACAGATAGAGCTCATTCTTAATTTCATCAGTCGTCTAAGGTGCTGCGATTCGCTGTGCAGTGTTGTGTCCCTTGGTAACTGCTAACGGCAGTGACGCTAATTGACCTCCCCTCTCACTGCCTCTCACTCACTTGATGATTCGACCAATATGTTTAGTGTAATCAGACAGGCACATGTACCCCTGCAAGCCAGTATTTGTTTTGCACGTGCAAGACGCTATTTGATTGTTTGTCATCGTACCCGATTGCGTCAATCACTATTCATAAAATCAATCACCGGATTGTCTGGACTATAGTGTTAATTGCGTCTTGTTTTGGGTGAGTGAGTGAGTTTGGTTTAACGCTGCTTTTGACGCATTTAAATTGTATAACGGCGTGTCATCTTGAGATGGTGATATAAGTGATGGAAATATTCGGCGTTTAACACTTTGGGGAACTAAAAGAGCATAGCTACGGTACTGACAAACCTAGAAACATAATCATGGTGAACGGGAGATTAGCTCAAAGCCACATGCAGCCATATTCCAGCCATACGGAGACACGCGTCAACCAAGTCAGTGAGCCTGACCACCCGATCCCGTTAGTCGCCTCTTATGTCAAACATGGGTTGCTGAAGACATATTCTTTTTGTTTTCCTGCCTTTACGGACCTGTGATGAATGGAAATAACTGATGTGAGCCCTCTGAGTATTTATGACAAATGCACAGACAGGTCGTTTTATAGACTGTGACATGTTGCAAACTCAACGGCGAATGATCGACACACGCTTGGAAAACACTTTGCCACCGATCGACAACCAGTCACCGATAAAGCGGCGGTCGATCACTGCCTCATCACTGATCAAACACAACTGGGGTTGCAAAGAGTCAACACCCTTGTGCACATGAAACGGATCACTGCATATTGGAAACCAATCTGCGATTAAAATAACACCGCTTGGGGACCTCTAGGCCACCAATGAAACCTCCGAGCAACCAAATAGGTCGCAGCCAGTCTTTTGTGCATGTTCAAAGGACTGGTTGCGACCGATTGGCTTTTGCGAGCGCTCTGAAACCTTTCAGAGATCCCCGAAACCTCATTGCGATCGTCAAATATTTTGGTCGCCAAGAGGTTGCATCGCGGTCGCATTGTCTGTGTGACTGAGGTTTCACTGTGGTTGAGTAAATGTTTCACCTGACAAAATAGGGAAACATATGGTATATGTCAAAATAGGGATTTTTTTCGACAGCAATTTTGTCACAGATGCGTCATATTTGGAAATATCCTCCACATGTCTACCGTAAGACGTTTGAGAAACATGTTAGTTTTGCAACACAGTGGTGGCAGTTTTGGTGTCCCGGCCCAAACATTTCCTTTGTATAAGGAGCTAACCTTCTACATAAACATCAAGGGACAATCCATTGGTCATCCACAGCAACAGAAACGCAACAATATTTAGAGAATTCATTATTTAATGAGGAACAATAGATGAAATACATTGTTGTCTACATATTGATATTCAATCTAATAGATTGGATCGTTAACACATATATACTGACCCGCAAAAGAATTGTCACCAGGGATAGATATATGAGAAACCTTATTTGTCCAAACACTGTAAATAGAGAATCTCACCAGAGTGTCTTTTGATATCAAATATATCAACACGAGTTGATAAAAGTAGGAAAACTCCGAGGCTTGCAGAGGATCTTTTCCACTTTTATCAACGAGTGTTGATATATTTGATATCAAAAGACACGAGGGTGAGATTAAATTTATCATCCAACATCATTCTTCCAACTTCAGTTTGTAGAAAGTAATAAGCAGTGTCTTTAGTGTAAAAAGAACTGCCAAAAGCTTCAGTAGCAGAGCCATTAGTGATGTCATTTGATTGTGACGTCATGGTAACCAATGACGTCACAATGGCCTGCAAATCATTGTGATGCAATATCATTGCAGCGATATCTAGTGTAGATATCGCTTGATCTCTCCCAAGCGATATCACCTGTGGGAGCCAGTTATGAATGATAAACATACTTTGAGACATATTAATGTGAGACAAAATGTTCTTAAAGTGAAACACAACACTAGTTTATGAGAAAAAGACATCAGAAGTCAGTATCTCGTGTGTCCGCCATGTGCATTGATGACTGCCGTGCAACGTCGATACATGAAATGGATGAGGCGGTTGATGAAGGCCATAGGCACTTTAGCCCACACTCTGAGGAACGCCCGACACAGTTCAGCGGCAGTTGTCGGCCTTTGTCGGACGTCATTCAGCCGTCTTTGAATCTCGTCCCACAGGAGCTCAATGGGATTTCAATCGGGACTGAGGGTAGGCCTGTCCATGGTTCTGAAGCCATTCTGCTGGAGGAAGTCTCTTGTTGCTCTTGCAGTGTGGGCACGGCCGTTATCATGCTTAAACTCGGCGACATGCCAAATGAGGTATGGCGTGTGATCGCAAGACTTGACCAATGTACCGAGTTGCTGTGACGTCATTGCCTCTTCCTGGACCGATGGTCTGGACGACCACAGGGCCAACCCTCTGTGCAAGACCAATTCCACCCCACAGCATGATGCTCGGACCATCCCACGAGTCTCTCTCAACAATTCAAGCATCCGAATAACGTTTCCCATGGCGTCGCCAGACTCTCCATGCCATCTGCTGTCGAGATAAAGTATCGGCTCTCGTCTGAAGAGAGGACTTTTCTCCACTGCTGTTGGCGCAAATGCTGGTGCTCTGTTGCCCACTGAAGACGGTCCCGGCGATGACGTGGTGTCAGAATGGGTCCTCGTTGTGGCCTGTGACAGTGGGGGTGTCTGCTTGTCAATCGTCGACGCACGGTGTCTGCACTTATGTGTCGCTTGTGTGTCCCCATGGTTTGTCGAGCAGTTTCCGCAACAGTAACAAAGCGATCTTGAAGATGCTGTCGCACAATCTGACGATCATGTCGTCGGGTGCTGACCCTTGGTCTTCCACTACGTGGTCGATTATCTGTGGTGTTGGTGGTCTGGTACCGTTGCTGGAGCTGGTCCTCACGTGGCCTTGAAATGCATTGGCTACTTACCGGGCGGTTTGTCCAGCTTGCAATCGTCCAAGGGCATGGTGTCGCTGATTTCTTTTCAATCTTGGCATGTGGTAGCAATTCAATAACGAATGAATGTTCTCTGATCTGGGTGGATTTTTACAGAGCCAAAAATGGGGGAACGCATGTACATTTCAATTTGCACGGAACTCACGTGAATCGGGTTACCGTTGCCGTGATGCGTTTAGGTGATCGGTTTTATTGTATTCTGCTTTGTTTTTTCATTTCATTTTCCAAAAAAGGTAATGTCAAATTTTAGAAACTTGGACAAAAATTACCCAGATATTTAAATGTCAACTTTTCATGCAATGTTACAAGGGGTGACGCTTCTTTTGCGGTTCAGTATATATGCTGTGGTATGAAAGGACATAACAAAATACAAACAGATAAACACGGAATCAGCGAGACGCCAGAGTGAGTGAGTGAGTTTGGTTTAATACCACTTTTAACAATATTCCAGTTATATTACGGCGTGTCAGCTTAATGTGGGAGGAAAGCCCGATGTGATGCAGGTCTAAGACGTTTACCACTTCGGTGAAACCCACGAGCACGGGTATGGTGTTGACAAACCTAGAAACATAATCAGGGTGAACCGGGATTCGAACCCACAATCATAGGTTTCTGGCGTGTCCAGGGGACGCAACTCTGCACTGCGAATCGCGGCGCCCTTGACGACTGGGCCACCCGTGCCCCGCGGGACGTTAGCGAGAACACAGCTC